ACCTTCCAAGAGGAGTATCAGGTTAAACTTATATCTACATGCCATTCTTCAAATATTTCTAGTCTTAGGGAACAACATTTAGAGGTTTAGAAGGAAAGATACTTCCTTGATCATCCTTTTGTTTTTTGTTCTTTGTGAGGCAATCGGGATTAAGTGACTTACCTAGGGTCACCCAAATTCACCAGAGGTCTCAGGAACTGGAGCTCCTATCAAAATTGGCTAGAAGCCATGACTTGAGAAATAATCTCTGAGACCCAGCCCAGGGGGCGATGGATAGAACTGGCAACTAGATGCCAGGCCCTTCAAGGAAAGAAGCAACTTGTCTGTCTGCTGCACCACATGCAGAACCTTGTGGGGCAAATGGTTTGTAGCCCAGAGTGGCAGAGGGGAGGGTATGCCCCTGGTGTTGGGGAAAGATGTGTTTTGTACTCCTTTCCTTGCCATATCTTCTTAGTAAATATTCATTTGTAAGAGCTTATTGATATTAATTAGTTAAGTGATACTGGGGCACTAATCACTGTGTCAATCAATGATATAGAGGAGATAGTAATTGTAACTGGTAGTTGATAGTGAGGAGAATATACTGGAATGGGGCCTTGAGCTGATAGCCGTCCAAAAGACACCACAACCCCTCAGGGGTACCTTTAGACTTCTGAGACAGAGATGTAGCTAGTCTTGCTCTGGAAGGACCTGACTCAGTATGAGTGGGGGTTAGAAAAAGGATCCCCCAGACTATGATAAAGCAAGAAAACAAGCATTTCTTAAGTGCTTACTATATACCAAGCGCTGTGCTAGGTGCTAAGGATACAAAAATAAAAGATCAGATAAAGATAAATAAGCCTGCCCTCAATGAGCTTCTATTCTATCAGAGGAGACAACATGTGCATAAATGAGTATATACAGAATATATATAAATAGTTACAGAGTGAATTTGAAGGGAAGAAGGAAACTAACACATGGTAAGGGAGAAGGTATAGGAAAGCCTTTAGACATGTAGAAGGTAAACAAATCTCAACAAATTCAGTAAGTTCAGTAAACAGGCTGTCTGATGCAAAACTTTAATATGCCCTCGAAAGCAGCCTTTTTCAGGCCCCTCTCTGCTCACTTTCATGGGAGAAGACACATCTAATTGCTTGCCAGAGATACTTGAGGGTGAATTTCCACTGTCTATAATTATCCAACTGTAACAGGAGCCCATCCTCATTGCCATAAAAGGAATCATTCTGGTTTCCACACATGCCAGTTCTTTATTGCTGCAAAATTCACCTACTTAAACCTTTGATGTGCAGGAACAGCAAAAGAGGCCCAAAGCTAACCCTGAGTCACAATGTCTATTGACATCCATAATGGGCCAGGCAAGGAGTCAGCCCAAGTCCAACAGGACCAGGAGGACAATGGAAAGGTTTCCTCTGCTCTGAAGTCATTCTAATGAAAGAATTTCCAAATCACCATCATCCCCATGATTTATAATGTTAACTACAACTTCATCTCACTTTATTTTTTTTAAAGATTGGATCTCCCTATCTCACCTAGGCTGGAAGTGCAGGGGCTACTCATGAGCCCAAGTCCCATTCTGATGAGCCTGGGAATCCATTTCCAACCTTGGCTAATTCTCCTCTCCTTAAGCAAACTGGCAGTCCCCTCTCCTCCCCCGCCCCACACACTGCTCCTGTGAGCTCACCATATTGATGCCAAACAGTGAAGATGCCTGATCAGTTTGACCCACTTCGGCTCAGAACTCCCAAGTTGAAGCAATCCACTACCCTCAGACTCTCTATAGCTGGGTCATCTCTCTTTAAAGCTCACAAATATAGGTGGTGGAATACAAAGAAACCACAAGATGGAATTTAAATTAGTCCACAAGGATATTCATATTTAACCAAATTGGAATACAAAGAAACCACAAGATGGAATTTAAATTAGTCCACAAGGATATTCATATTTAACCAAATTCAACAATCAAGTTGCAGATGAGGAGCTAACCATATCTTGTAGTTCGTAAAAAAGCATGAATAAGCCTCTACTAGCAGCAAGTATATTCCCTGTAAGACTCAAGAGAAGATATGGAAGGAAAATTGTAGAAAAGAGAAATTGCCCAAGAAAGCACTAGTCTTGGAGACAGAAGACCTGGGTTCAAGTTCCAACCCTGAGACTCCTAGCTTGGTCTCTTGGGGCCTCTTAAGCCTCAGAGCTCACCATCACCACCACCACCAAACCCTGAACAGGCTGCTCAAGAAGTAGTGACATCGACCAGGGATGCCTAACCTATCTCCAAGCCTTTTTAAAGAAACCACCTGGCAATAGTGTGTCCCTAAGGGAGAAAGGCAGCTAGGTGGCGCTGCAGTAGATAGAGCACTGGGCCTGGAGTCAAGAAGACCTGAGTTTGAATCCAGCCTCAGACACTCACTAGCTGTGTGAACCTGGGCAAGCCACTTAACCTCTCTTTGCCTTAATCCATTGGAGAAAGAAATGGCAAACCACTCCAGCATTTTTTCCAAGAAAATCCCATACAGGGTCATGAAGAGTCAGACATGACTGAACAACAACAACAAAGAGAGACAGGAGTCTGTCTGCTTTCTGAGGGCGAGAGCCCCAGCCCTGCTTGCCTTCCCTGGTGACCAACCATCTCAACCTCCCTCTCTCTTTCTCCTCCTCTCTCAGCTCCTCAAGTTCTTCCATTTCCTTCCTGCTCTTTCATAGCTCTCCTCCATCTCTGTATTCCTTGTGGTATGTGGGGTGTTCAGGGAAGATAGCACCTCTGGTGTGAGGACTTGCTGAGCCCTTTTCAGGGCTGCTCATCCACTCTTTGGGGTCCACCTTTATCCAACTCCCTCGGAGCTCTAAGAAGCTGTAGCACGTACAGCAACCACACCCAGGTAAAAACCATCTCAGCAGATGGGCTAAATCATGTCAAGGGGAACTGACAGGCCTCAGACCTGTCATGAATTTAGGACATGTCTACCCCAAGCACGTGAGGGCTTCCCCCAGGGAAATAGGCAGATGAGAGTCGTTTGTTCCAATGGCCATGTAGGCGTTTAAATCCTTTCTGGTTAGATTTACAAAACTCTGGGCAAATGCATTCTTACCAGCCTTGGTTAGTTACACTCCATCCCTAGCTAAGAGTCCATTGTTATTATTAACCTGCTTTATTTCCTTTCTGATCCATCTCCATTTTTTCCTTCCATCTCACCCCTCCTCCATCTCCCTTTATCTCTCTCCTTTTCCTCCTTCTCTGTCCCCATTTTCCCCTCCTCCAGGACTTTATGACATTTGCCACTAAACATATAGCAAAGCTCATTGACGGGTGACTTTCGGTACCAGAAAAAGATTGGCACCTCTTGCCCTCAACCATTGATGGGCAAAGTCTATCCTCTATGGAAAGAGCCACTGCAGGGTCTCTATCTGTATACTTCCAAGATGTGAAATAGCAGGCAGAAGACTCACTGAAGGCAACAGGTCCTCCTAAGCACCATAACATTAGCTTTCAGAAATTATATACAGATGCTAGCAGAAGGAGCACTGGATTTTTCAGTCAGAGTACTGAGTTCAAATATTGGCTCTGCCCTTAACTAGCTGTATAACTGTAGGCAAAATATTTTCCTTCCTTAACCTCATTTTTTTTTGCTCAGTAAAATGCACCACCTCCTCAAAGTGTTGTAAGAAAAACATCCTGTAAACCTTAAAGCACTATCGAAATGGGAGTCATTATTATTATTCTATTAACCTCGTGTTATAGTCTATGGCTTTTTCCCCCTTGGAAAAGATAAAAAGTTCTTTTCAAAGGCCCTTACTATATGATTTATCACCACAAATAAATATTTAGTTCCTCAATAGGCTCAATTCACAGGCCCCGTTTCAGCTCCTCTCCTCCCAATTACAAAGAGAAGTAAATCTTCCTTACTAAAGGATTACATTTCTGAGGTCACCCTTGAAGCCTTAAGTCAAAAGCATTCTCCCTCCAGCTCTTTCATGGGTAAAAGGCACCCATTTCTCCAAGACCTCAAGGAGGTGACACAGCTGATGTTTTTTAAACCCACTGTGGGTTATGTTGTTATGGAACCAACTCAAATCTTTTCCTCATCTTTCTAGCATAATAAAAGGTGCCATTTTAAATTACCTAAAAAAAAGGCTTTTGTATACTGGCATAGCGAATAGAGACTTTGTCTCTAAGTCATGCACATTGGCTGTGTGGCCCTGGGCAAGTCACAACCTCTGGGTGCCCCAATCCAATCCAATAAACATTTATTAAGCACTTACTATATGCCAGACACTGGGCTAAGTGGCCCCCAGACATCTCTCTAAGACTGTAAGTTGAAGAGAAAATGCCAACCTGCGTTGGAAAATTGTTTCCTCATCTGGGATTTTTTTATACCAGTGAAATCATAGGCCCAATTCTTATCCCTCTCCCCTTGTCTCTCCTCACAAGATTATTTGGAATCCACAGGACAAAGGATAGGTACAAGTAGAGATTCCTAGCTTTCTTGTTTTATTTATTTTTTTTATTCTGAATTTAAACAGCAAGAGAAAAAATGAGCATTCCCATATACACTGCAAAACACAGTAAGAGATTGTGCATGAAACAAATCTCCATTTCGTAGCAGTTGAGTTTTTTAAGTGTATACATTAGAGTTCTAAATCATGTGAGTAAAAGACGGAAGACATTTCCTCTGATCTCCACTACCTCTCAAACCTCTTTAAAATAGAAATCATGTGCCCAAGATAAAGCAACTTCAGCTGTTTCCAAGGTCTAGGACACCTAGAATTCAAAAGAAGGTAAAAAAAAAAAACCATGAACCTATACACATTGACCCTGAGCCTCCCCTTCACCACCCTCCCCTACCTCCCATGCTACTGGTAGTGAGACTGAACTAGCAGACCCAAGGCACAGGCTTACAGCAAAACCTACCCCTACTCCCCAGTCCATCCTCCCTCTTTTCAGTGCTATGTAAACCCAGGCCTCAGGTTTTGTAAGTTTGCTGAGGCAGTGACAACCATCACAGCTACAGGCCTACGGTCACAAAAGCTGGGGGAGGGGGGGGTCGGGCACAAACCCATAGCACCAGCACTGCAAAGCTCTGAACTTCCAGTGCCTGGCCAGAGAACTGAGGAACAGAGGGAGTAGGACAGGTCACCAGGACAGGACACTGTACAGAGTGGGGAAAGAAAGGTACACAGCACCCCACCAAGCCTGGGACAAAGAGCACAGCATCCAGCTGGAGCCAATTCTGACCACAAAAAAAGTCATGTGGGACAGAGACCTAGGCTGATAAACTGTGAATTGCCAAGCATGACAGGAGGCTGAGACACTTGGAATCCCAGCCCCCAAGGAAACTACCATCAGAGGCAACAGAGAAAGTGGATAAGGGAAAATCAAAGGCGGGAAAAGACTAAAATTACCAAAGATCTCAGAAAGAAGAAAATTTAAAAACTTTGCAAACATAAATAAATCAACAGGGAAAACAGTAACAACAGAAGAAAATATGGCCTCCAGAGTTCAGACAGACATCTATGAATAAATACTGCAAAACAAAGGAAAATGCACTTGATGAGACAGAGAACCTTGTGAAATGTGAGAACAAGGAACCACAACATGCTAGTTCAAAGGAAAAAAATGAGAATTATGAGAGCAGAATTTATGGCCTGCACAGGAAGAGTAACAGACAGAACAGAAAAACTGGAATCTGACCAAAGAAACAAAAGAGAGAATAGATTGCAAATGTAAATATATAAGAGTGAAGGGCAATCTAGAAGAAGAGAAGCAAAAACAATAACATGAAAAGGAAATAGGCAAAATACACTTTTCCTGAAGATAGAATGGATAATTCCCAGAAGAACATGGCAGGACAAAAAAAATTTAACATCATAATGAAGAAAAAAATAGAAAAGTATATAATAAATTCCACACATTACTTTCAAAACTATCCTGCTGGTCAGTGCTTCCTCCTGAACTCCATTCTGTTCTCTTTTATGCATTTTTTAAATGTTTTCATGGCCTTCTTTTGGGAGACATCACTTCCTAACCCTCTACCTCCCTAAACTGTCCCCCCTAGTAAAAAAAAAATTAAAAAACAGACCCTTTTAACAAATAAGCATAGTCAAGCAAAATGAATCCAAATAGTAGCCATGTTCAAAAATGCATGTCTCTTTCTTCACCATGTCTCCCCGTCAGGAGGACACGTTTCATCATAGATCCTCTGGAGACATGGTTGCTCCTTGCCTTGATCAGAGTTGTTAAGTCTTTCAAAGGTAGCTTTTCTTTCTGATGATGTTGTCCTCATGTAGATAATCCTCTTGGTTCTTCCCTCTGCATCAGTTCATGCTACCCAGGATTCTTCAAAAGCATGCTTTTCATCATTTCCTGTGATGCAATAATATTCCATTACATTTGTAACAAGGACTAGTATATACACGGAATGCATCAGTGTGCTAAGCTGATGCAAATTCCCCACATGGGAGAGACTAAGGGTCCTGTTTCCAAGAGAGTTGTGATTATGTGTAATAGAAGTGTTTTGGAGAAATGTTGAAACATGTGTTGACATTTAATAATTGGTCTAGTCTGCTAACCATCTGGTTAAGAGAAGCCTTTTTGATTGGCTGAGCAGACAGAACTGGGAGAGCCTTCAAAAGGGCACTAGCAATGAGAACCTTGGCCATTCCGCTCTTGCTTTGACTCCCATACTGATAGTATCCAGTGAAAAACAATGCTATGAGTGGAAAGGCCTTGGGTTCTCCCCACCAAGGCAAGCATATGACCAGCAAATATAGGTCTGAGTTCTTTGTCTGACTCAGTGTCTGTTCCTTTCCACATTAGGTGAAGAGATTGGAAACTCCTACCTTGTGAGTTTTAAAAGATTGGTAGAGCTGTGTCTGGGTATCCCAATGTCCCAGTACAGATTTTTTAGCCAGCTCAGCATCCATGCCCCAAGAAGCAAGGAATGACTTTTAGGACCCAGTCCAGTGGCAACTAAGATGAGGACACATCTGGCAATCATACCACATTGGCATGTGAACTTGCTGAGACAAATGTTATATTGAAACTATGCTAAGAATGAGACCACTCTCCCCAAAGACCGAGGTACAACAAGAGAAAGTATGCTTCCAAGGTGTTAAGAGAAAATGCTTGCATTTATGTTCTTATATCTTCAAAGTAGTTATCTTTTTTGTAAAAGCTAACTGATGTTAAAAGTGGTTAAATGGAATCTGGATGCTAGTCACCAGTGCCCTAACTATGAGAGAAACACGGCAGGTGGGGGCTGAAGCTTATAACAATAAAAAGACCTCTCTCCACAAAACCTTCACACTAAAGGTAGGAGTTTCCCTTCCTACAGCCCTGAGGGGGAGATGTAGCAGCCTGGCTGTGGGATAGTGGGCCAAAAAAGCAGAATCACTACACCTTCATATATCACAATTTGTTCAGCCATTCCCTAAATAATGGATGTCCCATCTTTGCTTTGATTTTTTGTCCCGTAAACCCCACTTCAGGATCTTGACATTTGTGACTATTCCCTCCCTAGCATTATTCTCCCTCTTTCATCCCCCCATCTCCTTTTGTTTCCCTGTAGTTTGATGTATTTCCATACCATGCTATTTGTGTGTGTGCATGTATGTGTCTGCGTGCATGTGTGTGCATGTGTGTGTGTGTGTGTGTGTGTGTGTGTGTATTCAACCCTCCTTTGTCCACTTCAGACAAGAGTGAAGTTCATTCGATGGCCACTCCCCCCACTCCATTTTGGCATATTTTTCTTCTCATATATCCTAGTTGTGAGAAATAGCAAAAGTCACTCCCTTCTTCCTCCTTTCCACATGTGTTTTCCTCTTCTTACTCTCCCTTCTTTCTCTTCTTCAAGCTTTCAGAATAGAATCGATCGGCTGCCTGCTCATCTTGGTTTTTTTTAATTCAACTCTTTGAATACCCCTTGAGGACATTAACATTCTGAGGGTCTCTTGTTTCTTCACCCCCTCCTAAAAAGTCAGCACTGGTTCATCATACTGCCCCTTTCAGTTGCTCAGATCACCTTTTTTTCTAGGCTTCTCTGGACTCCTGTGCTTGTATTTCAAAACTTGTACTCAGCTCAACTATATTTTCTCGCAGCTACCATTAGTGGAAAAAAGGATAATGAAGTGACAAAAAAAGGTCACTGTGGCAAGAGGACCCTATGAGCTACATCCCACCCTGCTAGCATGTCACGGTTGTTCATATTTTCCTGTTCCCACCAATGATAGACTTGAGGGTTAAAGAGGCAGTATCTTAGCAGGGCAGTGAAGCTTCTATTGTTTCTGCCAACATTCAATCAAAGGACTCACTGTAACCACATTATTCTCGAGACCTCCCTCCCATCTTTAATGTGGGGCACTGTAGCTACACAACCCCAGGAAACTCATCTGTCCAGTGACAAGAGACACTGATGGCCCAGACATTAAGGTATGGTATTGTTAGTGATCATATGCAGCAAATTCTCCCAGGCCTAACCCTGTTCCCATAGACTGAGAGTGGCTGTAGTAACGAGAAACCCAGAACTTACGGCTCTAGTTACCTGAGGGTTGGGACTTGGGAACATGGAAGAAGGTGGCTTGGGATGAAAATTATATACTTAAGTATAATTACGTACATAATGCTATTTGTCATTTGATGCTCATCTGATATCATAATGCTTCCTATTTTAAGTAAATTCTTTAAGTAAATTAAGTAAGAGTCCCGCCTCAAAAGCTTCTAGCTGGGGAGAGGTCCCAGATATGGTTGGATATCTTCCCTGTTGAGGAATATGTATATCCTATACCCTTTCAGGTATAGCTTGAACTAGAAAGCCCCATCAAATCCAAAGGCATAGAAACATTTGATGTCCAGCTGGTTTCCCAGCTTCCTATTCGGGAGGGACCAAAGAGACCAAAGAAAGTTGGTTGGAGAAGGTCAGGAAGCAAGTCGGATTGTACAGAATCTGAAATGCAGAAGACGCTGTCCCGTAGTCCTGGAAGTTTGTGGGATAATGATAAAGGAGGAAATTAGGTGGATGGGAGGTCTGGGCATTATTATGAGTACTTCTGAACCCAAAGGTAGCAGTTTTGGACATTGTTACACTAGTATTTATTATCTCTGCGGTTTGGTGAATCTTAGTGATACTCTGAGTTCTCGTGTCAAGGAAATCTTTTAAGAACTGAGCCAACCAAGTCCCCAGTTCCTTGAAATTCTTCACCACTCCCCCCACAGAATAGAAACTTTGAATGGGAAAGAAGTGGCATTCCTTTTTCACAGATTTGCTCACTCTTAGTGGAATATGGAATGGTTTTGCTTCACTGTCTTTATACCCCACAAGAAGCTTGTCAGATTCTCAGGACCTGAGCTTTGTGAATTCTGGGACAGTTGGCTCAGCAACTCAGCACATGGTGTTAATGAGGCCAAGGTCATAATATTCTCAATCCCAGTGTGAGCCAGTTAGCTTGGCTTTGCTTCATGGCCACAGATTGTATCCCAAACCCCACCCATAGGCTGTATCACAGACTGTGCACATAGAACCAACTCCCCTGACCCTAATCATGATTTGTAACATTGACTCTGACGCCCCTCCATGGTAATCACAAGCTGTATCCTTGACCCAGTACACAGACTGTCCTCCTCTTCCCATGATAATCAAAAGCTGTATCTTTGACCTCACACACAGACTGTTTCCCCCACCAAAAAAAAAATAGCTCCAGTCCTATTAAGCAAAAAATGCAAAAAAAATGTCAAAATGAATAGAACTCTCAAGTGGAGTACCCAAAGGATCTGAGCTTAGCCTGTACAACTTAGTATCTTTACCAATTACTTGGATTAAAGCAAAGATGGCATTGCCACTTTTCAAATTTGCAGATGGCATAAAACTGAGAGGGATGTGTCAAATGTTGGATGACAGAGATGCAATTCAAAAATATTACAGTATTCTAGAATAATGGCTTGAAACTAATCACATATATTTAATAGAGCTGTGTCAAGTCTTATACTTGGGTCAAAAATCTTTTTTTAAAGATGGAGAGGGCATGATTAGAAAGCACTTTATCTGAAAAAGATCAGAGGGTTTAAAAGTGCAATATGGAACCAAAAAAATTGATGCATATGTAAGGGTCAATT